AACGGGTTTTTGACGACTTATTGCTTCCATCATTGTGGAGTACGCAAGGCAGTTATCTCGCTGTTCTCGTTTCGGTTACGAAAGCAAGGCAAAACGCTCGTAGTTCCCGCTCTCAGTACACGTTGGGGACCTTCCACACTTTGACACCGGATAACTGGATGAACAAGGATTTATATTTACTTCAGAGGTCACTTTCGCCGCTTCCTCACCGTCGAGATCAACAGCCTAGAGCCACTACAACAGCCCAAGTGCACTCAGTGCCGATGCGGGCGACGGGGGCTTCTGTGAACCCGGGGGTGGGCCCAAGGGGGGGGGGGGGGGGGGGGGGGGGGGGGGCCGCTTTCCTCGAAACAGTCGACCCCCCCCCCCCCCCCCCGCCCCCTTCTCGGAGAGCGATTTGACATGGGTGGATCCCCCGAAATAAAACCGACTACGACTAGAAAACTCGATCACCTCGATACTCAAGGACGAGGGTTCGAAATAAGGTAGGTCGCACCCGAGCAGGCACAGGTGTACTCTGAACTTGGAGAACCACCCCGTCACTCCAACCGAGACTGAAGTCCGCGGCGGCGGTTTCAAAGCACGGCTTAGAACCAAAAGTCGGCGCAGTGGCGGCGCAATGTGGTTCTGCGGCGGTTCAAACAAAAGGCGCAACCGGAGTCCTGTTTATCTTGCTTTAGATTTTCCCTCCCCTCCTCCCCCCCGCTCCACACACACACACACACACAAAAAAAAGGAGTTCTGGATTTTCCTTTGGGTCAACCGGTAGTCCATCACAAACCGTGAACGTTCCAGCTCTTCGTCATGACACGGTGTTGCAGAGAGCAGGGTAAAATACAACTATACTCTGTTTCACCTTATGATGTACCGCAGTTAAAGGTACTACAAGCTCGAGCTCCTTGCTCTAGGGCACATCTCGGCGGCACAAGCTTTCGTGCGTTAAGAGCAGCTCCCAACGCTATGAGCTGGCGCTCCTAGCCTTCTCTGCGGTACAACATAAGGTGAAACGGAGTATATACGGACCACCGAATCAAATTCACTGCTATCGCAAATCTTGGCATGTGATTGCGCCTTTGCCGATCATCTTATTCGTTTTGCTGGAGAGACGCAACCGACGGGCATAACAAAATCGTTTGCGTATTCCGCATACCTCGCGAAAGCACTTACCCGGTCACCTTGCGAAAAGCGCGAAACACGGAGTCCGCACCACCCTGACTTACCGGTCTTTTACCTGCTTTAGAGCAGTTTGTACCTGCTAGTAGGTATGTCTACTGAAACTGCAACTTGAAACTAGGGGCAATGCCAGAGAGAAAATAGACAAAGTTGGGAAAGCGTGCTTGGTCTCCCCAATTTCTGAACTCTCAAGTGATTGTAGCATAATAAATTCACCAACACCTCTTTCCAAAATGAAGAAAAAACGCTATGTTTACTACGTAAAAGATGGTCTCAGTTCATGCATCCGTAGGCAGGTAGGAAACGTTGCCTCACACCGCATGATAAGCGCAACAAACTCACACGAGATTTACGAGAAAATATCGGTAGTGACTTAAGTTTCCCTGAAATTCTGTATGACCGGTCGTTTGCAGGACCGAATCATCTACTCGGGCAGTGTGCGTCGCTGTGAAAACGCCAACAACACGAAGCATAAAAACAGCAGGTCTAGGACAATAATCTTGAGTCCACTGTTCAATTAAAACGATGCAATTTTGTTGAAAACACCCGCAGCTTTTTACTCACGGTATGCGTCGAGAATCTCCCACATTTTGAAACGGAACGAAGGAAGATTTACTTTTAAAAGCGCTCGCTGTGTTCTCCCGGACCAGCTGGACCGGATCAGCTGACGACGACGGGGCTGAACCCGTTGAATTTCAACCCCACAATAACCAATTTGCGCTTTGTGTTAGTATGGGCTTCTACCTCCAAGCACCGCACCACACACCACGAACGTTTCAACTCTTTGACGCATCGCCGTGTTGCACCACACCTATCTCTACGCACAAAACAGAACGAGATCGCCGAAGTCAACGGAGCGCTGCCGTGAACCTTGGCTTGTGGTTGCGCACTCGTGGGCCCTGTGACTCCCTTCGCTTTCAAAGAACACATACGACGATTAGGAATGATACTCTCCGTCTTCCGGGACCATCACAGGGGCACTTCTCCGGTCACGTCTTCGCTACATGTGCTCGCAAACCGCGTCGCTACATGTGCTCGCAAACCGCGTCGCTACATGTGCTCGCAAACCGCGTCAAACCAAAACAATACCGCCGCCGCCGCCGCCTTGTTGAACATGCGTTGTTGCTAGATTTTCTCCGACCAAACAAAAACAACGAAAGCAAACCGGCTCTAGCTTCCAGCGTACATCGGCGCTGCGCCGTGGCCAGATTTTCTCCGTCAGCTCTAACTTAAAGATGACCTACAGATGCAGCGACACTGGTGTCAAGTTTTAACATGGCGGCCCCCACGGAGCGCCGTAAATTCTGAGGAGGGTGCATTGGAAGCGGCGGCACCTTCCCCCCCCCCCCCCCTGCTTGAGACAAAAACGTTCGCATCTTCATGAGCAACGCAATTGACAACCCACTTGCATTTTAACGTTTCTGATTTGGATAGTTTTTTTCCGCTCTCTTGAATTAGTATTTGTTTTTTACATGACTCGAAAATACCATTTTTAATGCTTAGAAAACGAGTGCTTTGAAATTGCTTGAATCTCGGATGTAAAGTAGCCGAATATCCAAACAACATATTTTCCCAGAGCCTACAAAAACAATCAGCCAATTTGACTATTTTTTTCCCAATCCGGAAATCCTGTGACTAATTTCGGCATCGTGTGGTGTCACGTTAAAACATTTGGTCGTGCGGTAGGCTCGATCCAAACGGCGAGTGGACAGGAATTCAAAGACTTTCGGCAGTTGCAATGTTTTGCCTTACTTTCAGAATGGAGGGATGCTTTAATATTATAAAAAAAAAAAAAAAAAAAAAACTCTAACGATCACATTCCGCGAGCTGCCATCTTGTCTATTGGGCTGCACAACACGTTCTGAGTATGCACAGTGGATCCCTTCTACGAAATATCAGTTGAAGAGCATGCGTCCAACAGCCCAATTTGGCTGAGCGTATTTGTCGCCTGGGTGATGGGCGTTGGAAAGGTGTATACAAGAGGCGTCCCAAAAGTTCTTGTCTTGACACGGAGGGAGTGAGACCACAGAGGCTAAACTTTTTGTATGGACACTTCTTGAGATTCCCGACATAAAACTGGCGCCTGCGCACATTGCGGGTTTCCTGTGGCGACCGCCAACAGGTGGCAATTTACGCGACATCTACGCGAGAGGGTCGGCGACTTAATATTTGGCTCGGAAAGGCCTAACCACGGGAGACATCTATTAAAAAACATGTTATTGACGTTGGCCCAGAACCCATCCTACAGCAAGATTTAAAAAAAAGGGCAGCGAAATTCAGTTGAGGATGGGAGAACCTCGAAATCGACCCCTGCCTTAACAGACATGTGGAAGTGATAGCCCATGGAAACATCGATCGTGTGAACGTGGGGTAAAGGCCAGATCGCCGAGTAAAAATACAAACCGTTTCGCAGGTCACATGTATCTTCAAATCACGCTTCAGTGCATCTTGACCCACTATCCTGACACGCACAATTCTACACCTGGTGGGTTCCATGATTCCTCTCGTGTGACCAAAAATTGTACCCACTACACCACAGTCAGGGACAATATCGATCTACTCAGGTGTCATCTCGGGGACTTTCCTGCCCGATTCGGAACTGTGAACAAAAACCTCGGTCCACCATTTTAAACCGGAAAGCAAAGACCACTCCAAAGAGTGGAAAATCCATTCCCTCTTCAGCCGAAGAAGGCTCGGTATGTCCCACCAGCAAGCAAGGTAAGCAGGTGAGGGGATGGCCATCGATTTGTGTGATTCTAAAGGTGTGCTGCTCAGCGAGTTCCTTCAGAAAACACACTTAATTACCGGTAACTACTACGTAACCCTGATTCATCGCCATCGGGATGCCATCGAGGTGAAACGTCGCGGTATAGTCCGGAAGGGTGTGTTGTTTCATCAGGACAATGCTTTCCTCTCCCGCCTTTGTGTGCCGATGGCTGCCATCCATTCCTGCGTGTTTTCTGTGGTCAGCCATCCCCCGTACTCGCCAGATCTTGCCTCCATCAAACTTCCATGTATTTCCCCAATTAAAAAAGCAAAAAAACTGATATTCTCTTTTTTTTTTGTGGAATCCAGGCGTTGAAGCATCTTTGGACGAAGTGTGTGACCCTCGAAGTGCGCTATGTCGAGAAGTAGCATAACTTTATTCACCTCTGTCACCTCCTTCTTGGTAAGGCCGATGACTTTTAAGACGCCCCTCGTACATATCTTGCACCTGCACAACATGATTGTGGTGAACACGGGCAACCACCATGTTGGTGGTTGACTCGACGGCTATTCACAGCTAGAACCATGGTAAACTGCTCCGCGATCAGCTGTTGCAACTCCTAAGTATACCGATGATAATTTTGCTGGCCTGCTCCGTGACAAGCTAGCCGTCAAGTTAAAAAGAGTACGAATGCCTTGGACAGGATGCAACCGCACATTTCTGAGATTGCGGGACGCATTTCGCAGCCGCGAATGGCGGCACTTTTCTAACGTTCTTTATGATCGCGCGCACCTTTGCATCGGCTTTGCCCGTTCATGATGTGCTGTCAAGAGTTGTAAATTTATCCCACTACAGCACTTCTCACGCTATCAACGCCTTCCTGAAATTTGCAGCATTTAGTGATGTTTGATGACGATCAACATGTTTCTAATTGGAACCATTTTCACTTTAACGAATTGAGAGGTTAATTAACATATTTTAGTTCGTTATCTGACATTGGCAATTAGCTCCCTGGCCGTACAAGTCATATGTACTTACCGTATTAGAGTACCTTTCGCTGATTTTTAAAACAAACCTGCACAGCATAAATGACACTGTGTATATGACACCCCTCTTACAGAAAAAGGTGTCTCCGGATCCAAGTACGCGGTACCGACTTCCAACGGCGGCTAACGGCCTCTACCTCCTCCGAGTCAAACTGCCCGAGGACCTCACCTGCGACTACTGCGTCCTTCGTTGGCACTGGAAGTCTGGTAAGGGGGCCATCTTTAGAACTCGAAGCCCGTGCACCCAATGCCCATTTTACTGTTTCACAAACTGGCCGCCAGGCCGTGCAAGTGTTTGATGCACACTTGAATAGGCTGTAACCACTCGCTGCCCTCTCGTGATTTTTCCGCTAGGTGGCGTTGCCTCTTTCAGAGGTGCGAAAGGGTTCGGTCGGTGCCAAACCTCTTATGGATCGGACTTGACACAGTAGATAATAGTTTTTTTTGTCCAAAGGTTAGGAAGCTTGGGCCAGCCTAAAGACACAAAATCATGCATTAGCTCTACTAAGTGATTCTTGAAATATCATGAATGTTGTGCCTAAATTAAAACTATCACACAATAAAAATATAAAGAAAAAAAGCAATGGACAAAGAACAGGAGCTGCAAGAAGCAGCGCTATCAACTGAAGATTTATAAAGAAAAGTATCCTAACTTTGCTTTTATGGAAATTGGCGTAAACAATTAGTCTTCCACGAGAACCCAAAAGAAAGCCCCTCGACGTAAAACTTCTTCAATCCAAGATGTAAATGCTCTTTCCCAGTCTAGAAGGGTTCTTGATGAGTGGCTCCCACACGATGCTGCATCTCTTTTTGTTATTTGATACGCCTCAAATATATTTCTCTTAGTTCCTATGTCTGAACATGAAATGTCCCCAAACGCAGGCTCACATGCGCAGTGCCTGAAGTGCAATGCAAGCTGTGAGGACGCACACCTTTCTAGAGGGCTGTGGTGTTCTCGTAATAGCGTGGTAAAGGGACACTACCCCCCCTCCCCCTCTCCAAAAAAAGGTTGTTTTTTTTTTAATTTTTTGTTAGGAGATTTAATATGGTGTCAGAAGATTGCACAACAAATATTTTCTTTCGAAGTCACGTATATTTTCAATAATGCCAAAAAAACTCAACTGCTCGAGACTAAAAACGAAACCTGCGCCCGGAGGTCGCAGTAATGTAGAGGAGAGAGTGCCGAAAGTCACGCAGCGGCACGTACCCAACCGTACGCTTTTTTTTTTTTCCTTCATTCTTCTTCTTTTTTTGCGCGCGCACTAGACGACTTCCATTCCGGGAAGCGTTTGCCGTGCGATTGCTTTGTAATAATGTTTGTTATGCTCGCTGTTCTGCACTTCAATGTGCGTTGTTTTGTACATTGAAGAGTTGGAGATGAGTAGTGAGTGCCCGTGGTGAATGCCCGCGACCGGCTCCGAAAAGAATTCCCCCAAAATGTTTCGTGAAGAGATGTCATACAGGTTCTGCATCCAAAAGTGGCATTGTGCGGTAGAGTGTGCACAAGTTTCTGAAAGATCAACGGAATCGGTACCAATGGCTGGCTGCAATTCCTGAAGAACGGACACCTTGAAAAGCGGACACGACCCGATTTATATGCACCTTGGAGTTTGTGGAAAGTGACTAGATTGAGTTCGCAGGTGCCCTTGAAAAAGAAAAAAGCACCGCCGGAAAAAGAAAAAAGCGCTTAACCACCTTGAGCCTCACTGCTCCAACTCCTGTCTCAGAAACTCTACGTCTGCCTTGGTTAAAATAAGGCAGGGTGAGGCATAGTTGAAATCATCCCCGTATATCCTAAAGAACCAAATAATTTCTCGTCCTAGTCCTTTAGGATATCCGGGGATAATTTGAACCATGCCCTCCCTTAGATTCTTAGCTTCCGTAGTGGCAGAAACTCCCTTAGTTTCTGCCACTGCGGCTTCTATGCTTCGAAACTCGACTACACAAAATCTGAGAAACATGCGGTTCGCGCCCTCCTTCATTTCAGAAATGCCCCAAAAACATTCTTTTTCGTCAAAATGAAAAGCTGGCCGCTTTAGCCTGCCCGATTTGAGATGAATCCACCCGTATATATATATATATATATATTTATATATATATATATATATATATATATAGCTTTCATGTTTTTTTTTTAAATTCTGTTAAGCTTAGAAAAACTCCCTGTAGATATATATACATATATATATATACCCTATTGAAAATCGCTCTGATGCGACTTCAGGATTTTTTTAAAGGGTGTGAAAGGGACTTAAGGAATTTCTGAGATGTTTGAAGGGAGCACCGATATTTCCTGGTGGGTTCGTTGGCCCCGTCAGAGGCTCTCCTGAAATGTCTGAAGTGCCCTTTACAATGCCTTGAAATGTCTGAAAGCCTGTCAAGAACTTTTCTAATGGGATCGGGAAAGCCTTCAAACATCTTGAGATGCTTGTGAGCAACGGCTTAGGTGGAGAAAACACATTTCGCAGAATTAGAACGTAGCTGCTTATTGTACGCTACGGGGGAAAAATAAGTATTTGGAGAATGCCGATCGTGTGTGTGTACGGTCAGATTTTTATTACTGCTCTTCTATCAAATACGAGTGGGCTCCTGGACCCGTCTGTCACTGCCCGGGTATTCGGTCGCCGAGGAGGCCACTGAAGGCGACCGCCCCTATGTGGAGAATTAACGAGCGTGGGCTGAGTGGTGTTGGCCGAGCGGCGTTTTTAGGTGAACGCAATCCTGTCCGCTCAAGGTGAAATCCGTGCAACAATTAATAAAAAAAAAATAAAAAAAAGCCGAGAGCAGTGTGCGCTTTCCAGGAACAGGGACGCACGCGGGAGCGACCCGTTCCGGGAACCGGTTCCTCCACGGGGACGGTCCCCAAAAGCTGCGCCTCTCTCCGCCCGCCGATGGAGAGAGGGTGCAGGGCTGCCAGGCTAGCGGTAGGCGGGAAAGGGTGGTGTGTGCAAGCGGGAGAGGCCAGCCGCCAGTACAGCCGTTTTCTCTCTGCTCTTGGGCGGTTCCGGCTAGCCCAAGAATCGCCGCAGATGTTTGGATCGGACCAATTTCCTCCAGGAAGGTGAGTGTGCATGGCTTTGAGGGCTCGCCCCTTGGTCTGTTTTGATATCCGTGCAGTTTCTTCCTTGGTTCCGCAGGTTCGGCGCTGGCCGCCTTCAGCACCGCTCGAGCGCCATCATGTTCAGCGCGTTCAAGGAGATGGTGGCCGGTGCCCGCTTACTCGCTGCAAAGCCTGGCAGTCGGGGTCAGCGACCCACCGCATGTTGTGCCTGCGCACCGGGATTACGGCACTGTGAGTCCTGAGACGGTGGATGACGGCCACTGTCCAGACTTTTTCCTTGCGCCTCTTCCTCCGTCCGACTTCAGAAGCATCCAGCGAGCGAAAAATACGCCGAAGACGCCGGTGCAACGCCATCATAGACGAAACCGTGACTGTGCTCTGGATTTCTCAACGGCGGCGGGTGCTGCTTGCGAGTTCGTGGTTTTCGCTAAACGTGTTTACTGAGGCTGTGTATGTGTCCGTGAGGTGCACCTGCTCGGTTTTATTAGCTGAACTACCGTACATCAGGAATACACCGAGTTGCATTGTGAGTACTTTGAAAGATATTTTTCTTCGTGATAAAGAAGACAGTTGTCAATGTTTGATGTGATCTCTCTCGTCTACTGCACCTTGGGCCGGGTTGGAACAAACGTTGCTTTTTATCACCTTTTTGAGTTATAATGTGCTTGTAAAACTAAATGTCTGCAATACATTTACAATAATGTTTTGAACTGCATTTTTGTCTATGGTTCACAGTCATTTGGGCGTCTAAAGGGTTGATGGGCTAAAGGGCCGTGGGGCTAAAGGGTTTTTCTATGGGGTATCCCTGAAGGGTTTTTCTGTAGGGTATTTTTGAAGGGTTTTGAAGGCCTGTGAGGTCCCATAATCCTTCAAGGCTGACGGGCCCTTTAGAAATATTTTCAATAAGGTATATATATATATATACCTACAGGGAGTTTTTCTAAGCTTAACACAATTAAAAAAAAAACATGAAAGCTAGATTAATGCGGTCTGCGCAGGTGAGTTATACGACTAGGGGGACATAATATAGGAGGCTAATCGTAACGATCAGTCGGCTAATTAGTTCAAATTTGTTAATGAGCTTTTTAATTAATAAAAATAGACATATAGTTCGAATTAGAAACTTGCTCAGCGTCATCGAAAACCACTAGATCAGTAATTTTCAAAAAGACTGAGCGCGTGAGAAGCGTAGTAGTGCACTAAATTTACCACTCGTGGAACACGTACAAAGCTAGCGGTTGCGGTCAGGCGCCCGCGCGATTTTTCCGTCTTGTATCTAGCCCCAGCCTTGTACCTGCTCCACGAGTGGTAACTTTAGTACATTACTACGCTTCTCACGCGCTCAAACTGTCTGAAAATGACTGGCTTAGTGGTTTCCCATGACGCTAAGCCAGTTTCTAATTGGAACTATATGTGTATTTTCATTAGTTAAAAGTTAATTAAAAAATTTGAACTAATTAGCCGACTGATCGTTACAACTGGTCCCCCATACTTTGTCCCCCTGGCCATATAACTCACCTGCGCAGACCGCATTAGCCTAGCTTTCATTGTTTGTTTTTGCAAATTCTGTTAAGCTTAAAAATTACACTGTATCTATATAACTGGGAAGAAAAAAAGACCCTTGGTGAAAACAGCAACCACGGACGGTTTAAGCGCGGTTCAAACAGACTCGGAATACGGAACCCGGGAGCCGGAACCCGTACTGACGTAATCACTTCCGGCTCCCGTTTACGGGCGCTGACGTCACGGTTTGATTTGAACGGCTCGCGGCGCGGGTCTCCGTATACGGGAACTGACGTCACGGCGGCTCCCCAGGCAACCAATCAGCGGCTGTTGTCAAGCCGGGTCGCCGCCCGGGGAGTCGAGTGCAGCTGTAGCCTCCACCGTGGTAAGGAGAAACTAGCGCCACAAGGCACAAGTGGCAGTAAGTACAGCGTGTGACTAAAAAAAGTCAGTCAGTCAGTCAGTCAGATGGACCAAAACTTTTTTTTTTAAAACAGGGCGGGCGTTTGTTGGAGGAGTGCCTCTGGTATCGTGAATAAAGTAAAATAAAATGAAATATTGGGAGACAGCCAGATGGCGCCACCAATGTCGTTGGCGTGCGCGTGCGCCCTCCGGCCCTCCTCCTCATCCTCTCTCTCCCGCT